CCTTTGGCCCCTCCCTGCTGGTCCCCAGGGAGGCTGCTGGGCATGCCCTGTCCCAGGTGCCTGTGCCCTGCCACTGCCAGCCTGGCCCCAGCTGGGTGTGAGTGCTGCAGGGGTTAAAGGAGGCGGCCGCGGGGCGGGCTGCTGGCCAGCTCCGGGAAGGAGGCGGTGCATGCTTGCCCGCCAGCCACCACCAGGGGAGGGATCTGGGCGAGCAGCGCCCTCGCTCAGTTGCTCCCAGCAGTGGCCCTGGGGCCAGCTCTGCTCCCTGTGCCTGCTCCCCACCTGGACACAAGGCTCACTCACGCCCTCCTCTTGGCAACCAGCTTCTTGCCAGCCACAGCCGCTGCCCCATCACTGCCCACCGCCCTGTCCCGTGAGCATAGACCCACCCCACCTTGGGGCTCCTCTGCCGGAAAGGTGAGTGTGGCGGTGCGTGTGCTGCTGGGCTGTTCTTACAGATGCTGTCGGGGCCGCTGATCTGGGTGTAAACTAGGGGAGGAGGAGGTCAGCCCTCCTGGTCACATGTCTGTGAGCGAGGCTAGCCCCTCAGGCCAACCTGTCAGTCCTCCTCCAGCTGTGTCTGAGATTTTTGCAGGCATGTCTGGGGTGCGGTTGTCCGTGCTCCAAGGGGGAGAGGCCAGTTAGAAGGAGTTTTGTTTGCTGGGGAAGTTACTGCTGTTGGTGGCAGCTGGACCCATGGCAGCAGAGGTGAGTGGGCAGGGACACATCTGCCAAGGGAAGGGAGGCGTGGGGAGGAGTTCATCTCCAGCCCTCTCTTCCCCAGCCGCCTGCCCATCACTGGGATGCCTGGGGGAGAGGACCCTGAGGAGAGCAGGCATTTTCCCCCTGGTTTCTCTCCCTACCACCACAGGAGCTGTTACTAGGCCCCTTTCTCCACTTCGGGGTTCTTCTTGCTCCCATCTCTCATCTCCCAAGGGCTGGCTATGGCTGCTAGGGAGGGCCTGGCAGGCCCGGGAAGGTTGGAGTTAAAAAGCACTCCTCTTTGATTGGGTCCATGCTCCCTTGCCCATGGGCACAGCCTGGCATGAGTGCCCCCTGCACCCTCCTCCAATCAGCATCTTACTCCTTCCTCACCCCTCTGGGCAGAAATGGCTAATCCAGGTGGTTAATGAACAGACACACACAGCTGCCTTTCACTCCCTCTCCTTCCTTTCCCCCACCCCTGACCCCCCGATGCCCTGCCTGCCACCCCCTCCCAAGCTGGAGAATCCATATAGAGCTAATCTCTGTTTGTCCCTCACCCCCCCAGTTCAGGACCAGGGCCAGGACTGCCTGCCCAGATGTGTCCTACAAGAGGAAACTGGGAGGGGAGTGGCCGAGGGTGACCAGGAGAGGCCTGCTGTGCTCCCAAGCTGGGCTCCCTGCAGGGGGTGCACTGGGGTTAGAGGACAGGATGGGTGCCGGGTAGGGGAGGGCAGGATGGCGGTGGTGGGTGAGGCCAGGAGGGGAATTGGAGCTAGGGTTTAGAGTCTCTGGGGACAGGGGCGTCTTCTGGAAACCCCAGCGTCTGTTCCTTGTGGCAAAGCCAAGCCAGGGGGGGTCAGGAGGGTGTGGAGGGAGCACTCTCTCCCATTGAGTCTCCGCCTGACCCCTTCCTGAAGCTGCCTGGGTGGGGTGGGGACCATTGTGGCTCTGACTTGGCCTTAAGTTGCTCTTACCCCTGCCAGCTGGCAGCTACTTCTGTCTCCCCCACCCTTACTGTCCCCCAGGACCTCAGCGCTTGCTACAGCTGAGCCACCTCTGCCCGACCCCCCGGCCCAGGGTGTGGAAGGGAGGACCTGGACCTAGCCCTGGTTGGGAAGCTGGGTGGGAGAGCTCCGAGTGGGCCCAGTGCTGGGTTCCTCTGTGGGGTTGGCCTTGGCTCTGCTGCCCATGGAGGGCTGGGGCCTGGGAGGGTCTCGGAAAGTCTAATAGGACCGCCAGTGCTGACAGCCAGGACTGATCGGTGGTGGAGGAGGCAACTGCAGAACCTCTTCTCTCAAATCCCTGGCCTTGAACCCTCCCCCCCACCCCATCCCATACTTTTTCATACTCCGCTTTCCTCAGAGCCCCAATTTGGAGTCTTCGCCGGGGCTGTGGTGCCCAGCATGATAAACCCAGGATGCTGGTGGCAGGTGGAGGGGAGCTGGGCTGGGGCCTGAGTTCAGAGATGAGGTTACCCTCTTCTCGTCAACCTTGGGGTTTGGGAACTCTCAGTTCCGTTTCTTCTGAGGTAGGAACAGAAAGCCGAGGGGCGGAATGGATTTGTGTTGGTGAAGGAAGCTCACTCGGCTCAAGTTTAACGAAGGGCTTTCTAACAAGCCTGGCAGGTCCTCGAGAGAACGGCTGCCATGTAAGGTAGTGAGCTTCCCGTCTCGGGGGGAGTTCAGACAGAGACGGGATAACAGCTCAGAAGGATTCCCGAGTTGGGATGTGGTTAGAAGGGATGACCTTGAAGGTCTCTTGGGATGCCGATGTCCTGGGATTCTTGGAGTTGGGAAATTCTCTGACACGCAGATTGGGGAGCAGAAGGGGGGTAGCCTCTGGCCTGGGTGGGCATGGATGGGGACCTTGCAGAGCAGGGCCTTCAGGGTTTGGGGAACAGAGAACCTGCTCTCTGCCCTCACACCCATTGCTCAACCACCCACCGCTCTGCCCCAGCTGCTTCCTGCAAAGATCCTGGGTTTCTTCCGATTCCTCTTGTCCCGCTCCAAGCCTTGCCCTGCTGGTTAACCCCGCAGTCTCTGGACAGACCTGCGGGCTGCGTGACACTCTGGGGTCGGAAGCAACACAGACCTCTACCCCCGCCTCCCCGAAGTCACAGCCCATGTCCCCACTAAGGGGCTGATTCAGAGCCAGTGTGCCAGGAGGGGGAGAGGGAGGGTCGCTTCCAGGTTGGGCAGCTGAACCCCTGCCCAGTTTGCGCACCCCCCAAAAAGGGGCCTCCCCAGTCTGCCTGGAGAGGGTAGGCAGAGGAGCGGTGCCAAGAACCAAGGTGCAGAAAAACCCGGGGGCAACTCTTTTTTAAGCCTCAGTTTCCAAATTTGTAAATAATACAGTGTTGTTGGGGCAGCTTGAAGTGGTTTGTGTAACTAGCAGCGGGGTGTAGGAGCCAAGAGTGTGTTCTCCAAGGCCTCTCAGGGGGAGCAGGGGCGGTGCAGGCTACCTCACCCCCTGCTCTCCAGACCTGTTTTCCTAGGTGAGCGTGTGTGTGTGTGTGGGTGTGTGTGTGTGTGTGTGTGTGTGTTGGCATTAAAGATCCCTGTCCACCTAACCTCCAGTGGCTTGGGTTTCCCATGATGGGAGTGTCAGGGTGGGCCTTTGGGTGGGTTCCCTCTAGTCGATGCCCCGTGACCCCTTTTCTCCTTAGTGGAGAGAGTGAAGGATGAGGGTCTGAGGTCATCCCATTCAACCCCTGCCTCCAGTCAGGGATGAAGTCCTTTCCAGTGTCTAACTTCAGTCCCCTGTCTTGAGCCAGGGACTAGGTGGGGCTGCTGAATTAGAACTTCTTCACTCTGGTTCCACAGAGACTCAGAGAGGGATGGGATGGCCCGGTGTGTGGGGCAGGACAAGGAGAGCTGAATATGCCCTGGAGCGCAGAGCAGTCAAGGGGGATGGGGGGAGCAGGGGGGAGGCAGCAAAGGCTCTCAGCTGCAGGCAGCTCTGACTCTTGGCTTACTTCTGGGCCCTAAGTCTCTTTCACCCCAGAAAGGGCACGGAGGCCCAGCTGAGGGGTGGCGGAGGAGTCCGGCAGGAAAACCCTCCCTCCCGGTTGCTGGACTCTGAAGAAAGCAGATCAGAAATGGGTGTGGCGCGCGGAGAGGGAGCGCGGTTTGGGATACTGGAGCCAGGACTTTGTCCCCAGCGCTGTACCCCCAAGGCCCTGGCTCCTAGCTTTCAAAGCTATTAGGCATGCAGAGGTGTGGGCACCACTGAGCTGGAACGAGGGCAGTGGGGGTGGCAGCGCTGCCAGCTGGTGGGCCATGCCCACCTCCCTGGGTGCCCCTCCATTATGCATGGTCACACTGGCCCAGCTCCTTCCTCCTTGCAAACAGCCTGAGGCATTTTCCCATCACAGCAGGCACAGCTGAGGCCCTGGTTGACTCTACCCAGTTTGGTGCTTTGGCCTTCTTCCTACTTGTCCGCACCTTGGTTTTCCTCGGGGAGGGTGGCTGGTCTCCACGGAGCTGGAGCTTGTGTGGGGTGGGAGTGGTGTGCCCAAGCCAGGGCTAGGTTGGGCTCTGTAATCCCTGCCTTTTTAGGGCTAGAAGCCTGTAGCTCAGGCGGGGTGTTCTGGGAGGCAGGAGGGACTGGTCCAGAAGGGCGGGGTACTGGAGAGTTGATGGGGACAGAGGGGTTCCAGGAGTGCCCGAAGGGAATCCTATTCTTCTTCCATATGGGAGGGTCCCAGTCCTACATCCGGGTCCCCTTCCCAGGCTTTCTGCAGCAGAGACTATGGGACCCCTCTGTTTTCCTGGGCCTTGAAAGATTCCTGTGTTTAGCTGGATTACAGACTCCTCGAGGGCAGGCCCGTGCCTTTTGCAGTGCCTGGCAGAATGCTGCTTAGCAGGAATTGACTGACTAAGGAAGGTAGAGAGGTGAGGGGTTTAGACAGGGCCTGGGGAGGATTGGCTAGAACTGGAATCAGGGCTATTCACTGAGCGATCTAGAGTAAGGCAGAAAGTGTGACTCTGGAGCCAAGCTGCGGGGCTCAACTCAAGACGACCCTGTCGCCTAGCTGTGTGGCCTTGGCAAATGACTGAACCTCTCTGAGCCTCTGTTTCCTCAGCTGTAAACTGGGATGATAATAGTACCTGCTTCATGGTGTGGTTGAGAGGCTCAGTGAGTTAGTTTATTTAAAATACTTTGAACAGTGCCTGGCACATAGTAAGTGCTCGATAAATGATAGCAGTTGTTATTACTATGGGTGACGGTGGTGGTGGTGTGTTCTTCCAGGAGCCACTGCTGGGATGACCCTGTTCTCTCTTATCATGGTTGCTCCACTCATAAAATGGGAGGATTATGGGATCAGAGGGTGGAGGAGATGGTGGGATTATGTTTCCTCAAGGGGTCATATCATCAGAGCCCAGAGAACAGACTTCCCTCCTCTCTCTCTCTCTCTCCCTCTTTCTCTCTCTCTCTCTCTCTCTCTCTCTCTCTCTCTGACTGGGGGTGGGGTGGGGGAAGCAGGGAGCTAAGGGGACCTCAAAAGGGCTTGACTGCCCAGGGAGTCAATGCAAATCCGTGTTTATGGAGGACTCTGAGAAAGTTGCCTCACTGTAAACAAGATGCATGATTACAAACTGGTCCAAGCTCCCCTTCTTGGATTCTGTCCCATCCCTTGATGAGAGTAACTGGATTGGAGACTCCCAGGCCTGGCAAGGGCCTGCCCTGGCCTCCAGGCAGGCTGCTCTTGA